GCTCTTGTGGGTTGCTAAGTCTGATTGTTATTTTCTTTTCCAAACATGGCTGCTATTGCTATTCATATTTGCATTTTGTTTACCAGGCTACTCATATCAGAAATTGGCTCTGGTGAAGCTTCTTCCTTCCTCTTCTGACCTCTGGATCTTTCTCTATGGCTCTCTCTGACAATGACCCAGATTTTTTAAACCTCTAGCCCAGCAGTCTTCCATGGTCTGAAATTTCTTGAATCTAAAATCCTGGCAACTCTGTTGGGATGTATTACAAACACATAAAATTCATCAAACCCGAAGTGAATATTTACTGTCCAAAGTGAATACCACAAACCCTGTGGGCTTCACTCAGTAGACAAGATGGGAGTCCAATCCAACCAGATGGGAGGGTGGAAATCTAGTCCAGCTGAGCTTACACTGCATCTCCACAGGATTCACATATATGAATCTGGTTCACTTTTGTTATTTGCTATTGAAATCAATGTTTATAGTAGAAATTTATGAAAGAACATTTAAAATATTGATCAGACAGGTAGAATGTTATATTAATATCCTGAAAGATATCAAAGCCAACAGGATAAATGTCAGATTGTTAAATCACTGTCAATAAGCTAAATTCTGTGGTAATATGCATGGAAATTGCTGATAGATTACCTACTACCCTAGAAAAGCTCACCATAGCTTCTTAGACTCAGCAAATGCACGTTATGTTGGGGACTGTGGAGGCCTTGGAGTGGTAAGTGAGAAAAATCTGTACTTGTAAAGAGTTCATACTTGGCTTGCAGCATGAGTATTGCTCTTCCCCTGGAGAAGCCCTGCAAGTTGCCACTGGTAAGAGTTCTCTGCAATCAGAACAATCCCATGTCCCCATGTACTCAGATGTCCTATTGATAACTGTTACAAATGATCTATGTGGAAAACTTGTTGATCATTATAAGTCCCTGGCTCACAATTTCATTTTATTTATATACAGAGGGATTTTTGCATATTAGTTTTACATACTGAATTTTCCAGGGACTTAACAACATGATACCTGATAGAAGTCTGTACTTTGTTTTGGTTAAAACTCTAGGAGGATGTGTTCACCATTTCAGAAAGTGACGGCACTCAAGTCAGCCCCGGTCACACATTCAAGTCATTGGGGTGACATGTGGGCCCTCAATTCCAGTCCTAACCATTCATCTGTGTTGATGGTTCTACATAAAAATGCTAGCCTCCCGTGACTTCTTTATGTCTTCCAGTGCAGCTTATTTTATTATGAATTACTTTCTTTTTATTACCACTTTATAGTACAGTTATGCCAGTATATTGATTTTATAAAAATTATATGTGTAGGAGATATATATATATATATATATATATATATATATATATATATATAATTCCATTTCAGGAGACAAGGAGGTTGTTACAGAGGATTTGTTATAAAAGTGCAGGGAAGGAGTCTAATATAATGGAGAACTACTGCCCTACAGGGTAAAACATACAAATACACTGATCATTTTGGCATTTCTGCTCCTTCCTAGCCATGTAAGGGGCAACCAGGCATCATTAGTCAAACCTTGAGTAATACACACATGAACGTTTTTTAAACATTACTCTTTTTCTGTAGTATATATTTCCCAGGCTTTTTTTTTTCTACAAAAGAACAGCTCAGCCTACGGAAAAGGAAAAGGGTTAGTAAGACGCTAAAGAAAAAAACCACCCTCACAGAAAGCTTCCACACAAGGGGAGCCCCTAGGCAGGGAGCCAAACACTGTGGAAAGCAAAACCCCATAGGCAAGTTAGTGGACAGGAGCACAAGGACATCCGAGTGTGTGTTCGGTGCCCCTTTGGTAAACAGTGCTGTCACTGTCCTCTGGACCTGACTGGATGAAACATCCGGCACACAATGTTTTCTTTCTCCACCAATGGTGTCTGACAACTGTGACTGACATTAGGGACTGCACTGAAGGTTGCTAAGTGATAGAGGCCAGGGAGGTTGCTATGGACAGGGATTAGGGCAGGTCTGGGTTGACTAGTCAGATTATACTAGAAACTTCAGAGTATTCACTTTCTTAAAGGAAAAATTACAAAGAAGACGAAAAGAAGAGGAGGGGCTAAAAAAAAAAAAAAAAAAAAAAAAAAAAAACCCAGGTAAATACATAGTCCCAACCACTGGGGGAATGAGAGGGACACCAAAATACACAAAAAGGGTCAAAAGCCCCAGGGGCATTATCTAACAGAAGACAGACAGGTCTGGCAGTTGTCCTGAGGCAGAAACATCTATTTCTCCAGCCCTGCCACCCTTATACCTCAATTCCCAGGATCATAGCGTTCCTCAGAGCTTAGCTTGTGCAAGTTGAAGGAATAGCCGGGCACTGCCTCATGGGACATTTGCGTACCACATCATGGGACATTTTAGCCACAGATTAAACTTAGGGCTAAGCAGAGTGTTCCCAGAGAAACGGGTAGTTCATGGGCAACCGTGGCAGCAATGACTCTGCTGTTGCGAACTCCCTTAGTAGAGCAGCAACATACTTAATATGCCCAGGAACATTCCAGGAAAGCCTGTGACTGTGGATTGCATCCTAATGATGACCTTCCACTGCTTGCTTACCAGCGTCTCCTGTTCTCACAGAAAAACAACCTACAACACTACCTTGTCACACAATATTGCCTTCTCCCTCGTCTTGAATTCAGGATGCCTGGACTTCCTCACCAACAGTGCGCCATCCTCCCTCTGCTCATCTCTCTCTCCCGTGAGTACATCAGTTCTTCTATTAGATGACTCATTGGGCTCTAGACTGTCCTATAGTTAAGGGTGAACATAAAGCTGAGGACCCATGTTAACACAGCACAGGAGCCTTGCGTGGTTATCTTGGACGTATGTATATCAACATGGCGAGTTTATAGAAGAACAAGCTGACACTCCAGGGAGCAGGACTTGGCACTGTCCTTCCTCAAGTAATCGGTGGTGCTGAGATTTGAATTTTGGTCTGGTTCATAACCACTGCACGAGGACCCTAAAAGTTCCTAGAGAGTTGGATTTTTTGTATGTCCAAGCCAGAGTAACTTCCTCTTAGGTAACTAATTGTATACTTAGGAATACAATCATATAACACCTTCTTGTCCAATTCCTGCACAGGATGCAAGGCCTCCAGTGTAGGAACGGAGCACCTTGCTTTTTACTCTGTCCCTGAGGCCTGTGGTGAGTCCAGCGCAAAGGAGCAAACCTTTACAATACTTCCAGCCCCTAGGACTATACTTCAGTGTTTACAAAAGACCATTCAGGCTCTTTATGGGTAACTATCAGGTAACCCTTTCCAATCATTTATAAAATAATCTCAGAAACAAAAGGAAAGGAAAGCAAAATCTTTCTATTTAAAGTATTTACTATGCTTAAGATTCATACAAAGTTTTTTCTCCACTAATGTTTCTGCTAATGTGTCTCTGAACATATATCTTTTCACTGTACATATCATACATAAAAATATGTACATGTTTATCACTAGGAACACATTATATAATGGGAATCTTGAAAATTGTCACTAGTAGTATGCTTGTCATTAATTCAATGTTTAGCAGAACACAAAGGGTTAGGAGGAATACAAACTTCTCCATATTAAATAAATCCATGTCAGTAGCAGAGCTATCTGTGCTACCTAAACCTGGAATGATTAAATAAGATGTGTGTCTATACAGTGGAATATTGCACACTGATGAAAATGGACAAACTAGAGTACTACATCCAACACTCGAGCTGAATCTCACAGCAAAACTTTGTGTGAAAAGAGCCAAATGCCAAAAGTGTGTCGAGCTCAGGTACATAAAGTTCAAGTACAAGCTGAACAAGTTTGCAGTGTTCAGTTCATTGATTATTCTGGCCACAGACAAAGCAGTGATAGGGGAGAAGCACAGGAAGATTTCAGGGTACTGATAATGTAGCTTCTGATCCATGGGTCAGCTCACAAGAGCTCAAACTGAGAAACTTTACTGGGCACTTATGACTTATGTAATTCTATGTACCGTATTTTTGTAGAGATTCACCTTTTTTAAAGTTTCCCATACTGTCCACACTTGGGGATGTGTGTATGTATAACAGGCTGACAGGTAGACCCCACACCAGCTTTTCCTGCAGGAGTTTGCTGTTCTTGCACTATTTGTGTTTGTGTATCCCAGGACCTAGTAGAAGACTACATAGCCATCTATTCATTTGAGGGTTGGGGGTTGAAATTCAATAATTCCAACACCTGGAACCCAGCTGCGGCTTCAATAAGGAGTCCCCTAGTCTAGCAGAACTGTCTGATTTACAACTTTTCCACCCTCTACTGACATGAAGGAAATGCGTCATTTGTCACAGAATAACCTACAGAAATCTCAATGGTTAATCAAATGGCATTTCAGAAACAGTTAAAGTTTGTAGTCCTGTTTACATAGTTTAAATATTTTCTGAAACGCAAGTCACATCATCTCACCAATAGTTTCCCCATTGCATTGAGGTTAAGAACTGGCACCATCTGTTGTAATAATAAAACGTTATTAAAATATGAAATCACACGGAAAGCTGCGTGTGTTTGTTAAGTGCGAGGCAAAGAAATCTTTTCTCTAGGACAAAGTCTTCAAAACTGCCCAGAACTCTTGTACAAGCGACCTCGATAATGTACCATGTCATGTGCACTGCATCAAGATTGTATTCTACACAATCGTTATTTAAAACACCTTTTGTAACACTTTCTAAGGGGCCACTTGCTGGCTAATAGTAATAAAAAGTCCAAGTTGCTGAAGCCAAAGCTATGATGAACTACACGAGAGCGCGAGGAATCAGAGCTGATAAAGTCAATGAAAGGTGCAGAAACCGTCCTGCGCTAAGGGCCCCCCTCCTCTTCCAAGACAGCAGCAGCTTGGCGAGGTAAAGCCCGGGCCAGAGCGCAGCGCGTGGCTCGGAACCCCAGCCCCTCCCGGGAGCGGAGCCCCCGTCCCCGTCCAGGTGGCCCTGCTCCCGGAGCCGGCCGGGACAGACTTACCAGCAGCGCGCAGCACAGCGTGTGGCTCCTCATCGCGGCGGGGCCGGGACCTGGGCGAGGTGCGCGTCTCCAGCCAGTGCGCGCCTGACTTTTTATACAGCGTCCCGGCAACAGGAAGTGTCGCCTGGCTTTGATCTGTCATTTTTCTCCCCAAACCTTGCACCTTTCCTTTTTAGGAACCTGGGGCGGGAGCTCCAGGGTTAACGCTTTCTGAGCCGGGGCCCCCCCGGGGGTGGGGCGTGCAGGCCGGGGCGGGGACGTCTGGTCGCTGCAGGAGGGAAAAAAAAAAAAAAAGAGGCCACCGGGCTGCGGAACAAGGCACCGCTGTCTGCGCCTGGCGGGAGGGTTCCCGGCTGCTCCCGCCACCCCAGCCCCCGGCAGCCGGCTCGGGTGGGAGTGCGCTCGCGCGGCGCCCCTGTGCTGGGCCCTCCAGCGTCCCGGCCACTCGGTCCCCTCCGGGAGAAAACCCAGCTCCTGCTTCGCGCTCCCTGCCTGGGCGCTTCTCTGACCCCTCTGTGGGCGCTGATTGCCCCCAGCCCTTGTGCTGTCCTGAAAGTTCAGTCATTCATCAATCCTCCGGGCTGCACAAATCAGCTGAGAAGGAACTTTTCCAACTCGTGTTTCGCTGGCTCCCACACCCCTGCTTTTCTCCATGGGCTTGTTGTCTGGGGTCGTCCGAGCCTGAAAATATCAGCAAGGTCTTACTGCCTGGCGCAAGGGAACACCTTGCAAGCCATTATTTTCTCTACCAACACTGTTATCAGGAAAGGCCAGTTGGTACCTCAGCGACCTACACACTGAGTTCCAGAGGGCCCCTCGAAGGCCGGCCCACTGCTCCCGGGTGTTGACAGAAGTTAAGAGCTTTGCAGAAAGGATTCTTGGCGCGGTGCCTGCCCCCCGCCCCCCCCCCCCGCCTCCCCCGGCATCCACCCCATCCCCTGCTGGTCTGGAAGTTGGGTTTGGTCACTTCTAAACTGATCTCAGGTTCTGAAGTTTTGCATGCAGTGCACGGGTTGGAACTTTCCGGTTGTTACCCGAACTCTCTGTTTACATAGGGCTGAAAAAATCCCTGCAGAGCCTGCTTTGCCATTGGGGCCAAACGTTCCAGGCTAGATCTCCAGAGAAGGGCAAATTCCGCTCTCAGCAGCCTTCAGAGAGAAGGGCTGGCAAGTCCGGAAGGAGGGGTATAGAGGGCAAGCTTTGCCAGCAGGGATAGGACATCATCCCCTCAAAGGACACCTTTCCATCTGGAGGTCCAGGTGGATCACACAAAGATTCTCAGCATAAACAAATGGCAACTGGAAAGAAAAATGAACTTACCCTTTGTGAATCCTGGGACACAGGGGTCATGCTCAGGTCCCTCTCCAGGCCTGGAACCTAGCAGCATGTGGATGTCCTCAGTGGACCAGTAAGCATAAACTTCTGGGACTCCCCACCCGCCCCTCACACTTTGAGCTTTGGTTTTGAAAACTACAACCTGAGATATTAACACTTAGGCTTATGCTAAGTCTTAAGGAAATCCAAATTTTAGTAACTGAAGTCCTATATAAATAGTGATATTATTGTTTCTGTTATAGTAAAATTTTTCTAGGATATTATTGAAGACCTTTTCCTCAAAACACAATACATCGTCAATATTTGGAAGTCAGACCTTAGAAAAAACTGGCCAAGGATTAAGTCCTGCAGTGTTAACCCTTGAAAAGTTCATGTTTCTCTAAGCTGCCATTTCCTCCTTCATAAGATGAAAATAAAACTGGCATTGCAGAGGAAAGAAGCAAATAGAAACTTCAAAAAAGCGATGCAGAAATGACCATAATCGCTTGTGAGTATGAAATAAAACAATTTATGTACAGTACATTAGCCCAGTGACCATAAGAAATACCTGTTAAATTCTAGCTGTGCTGGTTGTGGAGGAATAATAGATGCCGACTTTGGGATTCAGGCACTCTTTGAACTCTAGCTCCAGTTCTTCCTAGCACCTGACCCCAGTGCACCTAACCTATTTGTGTCTTTTGCTTTGTGAAGAGGATACAGTACTTTCAAATCTACTGCACACCATTATTAAGGGTTGTATGACGGTTGAGTTAGATAAAACAGGCAAAGCACCCAAAGTAGTGTCTTGTGAATGGTATAATCTGGATTCTTGGGATATTTATTTGAGCCTAAGGTGAACCCAAGCTCCTAAGGGCAGGAACTCTGTGATTCCCCCTGAACTTTCTAGCTCAGCCTCTAGCTCTGCTCACTATGCCCTAAATCATGGGAAGACGGTGGTGGCCCAAGGTGGAGGCGGTAATTAGTTGAACTCTGGAGACAGATTGGGGTAGCATTTATCTACAGTTACAGAGTAGACTGTGTATTGACTAAGTATCACAGACCCTGACCGGAGGCCTTTCATTAATCACTCACTGGCAGGACTGTGACAGAGACGATGAGTTATTGGTGATTTCATCCGTTATATTCCTGACCCACCCTGGCCAATCCCCTGGGGTGTTCCCAGCTGACCTGCTTCTGTGGCAGCAGGCTTTGAGCACTGAAGCTACAGTTCATCTCCAAATTTAATTGGAACGAACCTTGGGATTTCTCACTGAATCCAAAGGAGACATCTGAACAGTAACCTGGATGACTCCATCCGTCTTCCTGTGACAGAGAGGTCCCTCACAGGCAGAGGCCATCAGTGACATCAAGTAGAGAGCCCCGTACATGTAACCTTTCTTTCTGGACACCTCATGAGTGATGCTAGCTTTCTAGCAGAGGCTTTATCTGATAGCCCTCATCTTCTCTTCCCTCATCTTTTCAGACACTTCTGACCATCTCTGGCGATATACTGTACGTCTTCTACCCCCTACTCCAGCCACTGCTAATGTAGAGAGATGGCTTCTGAATCTGAGCTCTCCCAGGAGAACACACTTCTTCCCTGCAGCACTGCAGCTTGGCCCCTGATACTGAAGGTCATTTGTAATCATCATCAGAATGGGAAGAGCTGAAGCTCAGACAGCAACTGATTTAGGTGATCGGGAGACAAAGCATGCTCTGAGAGGACAAGGACTCTGAGGTGACTGATCAAGTGTCTAAAATCTGACTCTCAAGCTTCGTTACCTGAGTATTGCAAATAACTCATTCTGAGGTTGTGTACATGGAGGGACATTAACTTGATGGACAAGAACACGTTCTTTGTTATTTCACTGTTGCCAAAAAGCGGCTTTCTTCTGCTTTCAAAGAAGGAATAGGAGGGAAGAAAGAATTTGTGCAGATAGCTTATGCACCTTACTTTGTTATTGCTTTGTTTCTTCATTAACAAATGCTATTTTAACCGCATGAACTCTCTAGGCAACAATACTGCGACTTTGCCTGTGTTCAGAATTGGATGTGGACTTGGTTTTGAAATAATGTGCACAGGAAGGCAAGGTTGTCTGATGATCCACTTTCTGGTGGGGTTGGTCACCAGCTCCTTAAGGAGCTTCTGTTCCCTCATTTTCTCGTCTTTCTGCAAAGAACCACAGGAAGCCCTGGAAAGCTGTAAGCAGTGCGTCTTAATTAGTTCAGGCTGCTGTACCAAAACATCATGGACTGAGTGGCTTACGAGCAGTAGCAATTTATTTCTCACGTTTCTAAAGGCTGGAAGGACCAGATAGGGGCCAACATGGCTGGAGTCTGGTAAGAGCCTGGCTCACAGAGTGGGCCCTTGTCCTTGTGTCCTCACAGGGCAGAACGAGAGTTAGAGAACTTCCTCAGAAGGGCACTAATCCTGTTCATAAGGGCTCCATGCCCAGGACCTCAGCAATTCCCCAAACCTCCTCCTCCTAATGCCATTACACTGGGGTTAGTTTTCAATTCATGAATGTGGTGTAAGTGGGGGCAACACGTAGTCCCTAACAGTGTCACGTGATCATTAAAGCTGCTCTCGGCCCAGTTTTCTTAACTTCACCCTGCCAACTTCTCAAGGTCATACACGCCAAACTCACATACGTCAGAGGAAGCTCTCTTAAACTACAAATCACAGTAAAATCCTTGTCACCCGTGGACGTGGAAGTTGGGAAACAAGGGGCAATAATTTCCACAGACCATAACAGAAACCCCGTTGTTTCCAGCAGCTGGAGGAAGAGGCACAGCCACTCACTGATAAAATGTGTGGCCTTCTCCGTCAATCACCCCAGTCGCTTCTACTGGAATTTCTTGAAAACCAGATACCATCTAATGCTTGCACAGTCCCAAGAAATTGCTTTCTTAATTAAACAGCCAACCATATCCCAAAGAAGCACTCACCTGGAGGCTTCTGAACAAATAAATGTCTATGTCAATAGAGTATTAAAGAATACTGCATGCTTACACTGGGCTACTCCTCCAAATCCTTGGTGGAATTTGCTCATCTCTAGTATTAATTCAAAATATTCTCAGACTAGTGTGGGGGCCCACGCCAGCAGTCCTAGCACTGGAGTGGCATCTAGGGAACCCATCAAGACTCTGCTTTAAAACGAAAAATAAAAATGGTGTATATACCTCAGTGGAAAGGTTCTAGGTTTACTCCCCAGTATCACACACACACACACACACACACACACACACACAGACAGACAATCTCTCATCCCTAAATTGTTTGTGCAATTTGTCTGCATCTGAAGACACAGTGAACTGGGGGAACCCCTGGAGTTTTCTCTTACAGACAGCTAGGTACTTATATCTGAGATTATGTCCTTTAACTAAAGCAAACCTCTAGGAACCAAGGTAGGTAGATGAGGTAGGTAGTTTTCAGAGCAAAACGCTTCCTGAAACAAAGGTTATAACCTGTTGAGACTAAAGAAAATTCTCACTGAATATGAAGTTAACAAGGGGAATGAAGTTATGCAATGCTCAGTAAAGGGACAGCATTAACAAAACAGGAAGGAAGGTCTATCTTAGCCCCACCATATTACTCATCTGTTCAGAAAATATTCATTTAGTATCTATTACATTCTGGGCACTGTGCTGAGTACACCTGCTGTGGAAAGAAAATGCCCCCACGCAGTCTTGAAGCTTGTGGTCAGCTGGGGGAGCAAGAGTAACCAGATAGGCATAGAAGTCAGCTCTTCAGAGGGTCGTGGAGCTATGTTAGTGGGGCGACAACCAGCAGGCAGGTTGGTGTAGTGGTGGATGCCCAAGAAGGGCGACTCCGGCCAGGTGTTTTAGGGAAGCACTCCCTAAGGAATCAGCTTTGTATCAGCCAGTGGAGGTAACAGGACGAGCAAGTGAGAAGCCCAGCTGAGTGTTGTCAGTGA